TGTAAATAGTTATTAATAAAAAAGGGATTTAATATTTATATTATTATTGTTTATAACGCTAACTTCATTATAGGGTACCAATTGAGGGCGTTGTAGGGATGCTTAATACCTTCTCTACACGTAACCGACCCCCGAACCCAATTTTGGTTGTTAAGGCCATTATTGGATTTTTTTTAAAACCTTTTCTTTTTCTAATGTTTTGAGTAACACATTGGTGGCGATTCCATGAACTCATTTTTAAAACTATTAATGAAGGATTAGTCTGGTCTCCGGGCCTTCCCTAATTGATGAGATTTTTCAAAAAAGGTAGTCTAAACCGTTGGTCGTAAGATCAGAAATTTTCAGGTTATGACAAGACTCACCGTCTTCTTTCTTCACTTCACAAATTAGGATTCCTCATGCTCACTTAGTTAATTTTGATTAATTTAGGGTGAGATAATATTTTTTAAATTATAAATAATTTATTTGATTAATTAAAGAAAAATTCCTTAGGACAAATGTAGTAAGGTGCTAATACCTTCCTTACACGTAACCGACTCTCAAACTCGACATCTGACTTTCATAGACCATTTTCTTTTTTGTGGTTTTTTCAATATTTTTCTCGAAAAATAAACATTGGTGGCGACTCCATATCATTTATTAAAAGAATTATTTTTCTGTCCCATGGTGACCGAGGTTACTATAGTGGAAAAGTTCATATATGCACGATCGTTGTCAATACACATATACGACTATGCTTAAGCATGCACAACTATGGTGAGTGAGTGTGCACAATCGTGCTTTTGCGTGCACGATCGTGGTAAAGGAACATGCATGATTGTGCTTTCAACATGCATGGTCGTGCTTCCACTATCTAGTATGGTTGTGCTTCCACTATCGAGTATGGTTATGCTTGTGGCCATGTTGTTGGTAAACCTTCTATAGTACAACCATTGATGCATGCTAACAAGAAAGCAATCACAAAAAAACATCAACAACAAGTAAGAATGCAATTAACTTAATGATAAATAGGGACAAAAAATGAAAAGAGAAATAGTAGAGTTTTGAGAGGGAGAAAAATAATAGTGTGGAGGAAGAAAAAATGAGAGATAAGGTTTTGGGTGTTTTAGATGCACCCCCGTGGTTACTTAAAAGAAAAATGCCGCATGGTATAAGTACAATTGTGCATATGGTGTTGCACAACATTTGTTCAAGTATGCATGACAGTGTTATTAGGGAGCATGATTATGATTTTGTCTATTTTTCTTAAATAGAAGAAATTCATAAACAAATTTACAAATTTTCACTGGTTACCTCTTGGAAACACTTGTTTAATGTCCTCAACTTGATGTTAATCGGAAGAATTTAATTTGTGAATGGAGTGAGAACTTTCTCCACTCCATTGAGAGTGCATGAGGTCCTCTTCTCTAGGTCTCCTATTATACTTATTACTTTTTCCACCTTATAGAAAGTGGAAGGGAGTTGCCTATTAGAGTCAAAGACCTAGAAGGTGATTGCCTCATCCTCTAATCTTATCGCCGGTTTGCCTCTAGAGACGTCTATTAGGGTTCGTGAGGCATGCAAAAATGGCCATCCCAAGATGATAGAGACTTCCTTATACTCCTCCATATCAAGGACCACAAAATCAATTGGGAAAATAAACTTATGTACTTTCACAAGGATGTCCTTTATTATCCCTTCTAGATATGTAATTGTCTTGTCAACAAGCCGAAGGGAGATATTAGTAGGTTGGGGTTTACACATCCCTAACCTTTTAAAAAACAGATAGAGGCATTAAATTAATATTTGCCCCCACAAAGTGCCTTTCTAGAATGATGATTGCCAATTGTATAAGGAATAGTTAATCTCCTTGAACAATAGTTAGCCTAGCTTGCACCACAAGCCATTCCCTCACTATATAAGTCTTTTCCTTCACTTTGTAAACACTTTTGATGCATATATTGAGAGAATTCCAAAATTACCTATGAGTTTTCTCTCTTCCAAAAGTTTCAAACCTTTTTTATTTCAATCCATTTCTCTTATCCTCTTCATACAAAAGTGTGGTGAGATTTGAAGTGGCTAATATTCTTTCAAGGAGTGGCACCACTTGAGAGTGTTTTTCACCATTATTGGTGAGTTCCAAATTTTCATCCACCATTGGAGGCTTTGGAGAAGCTTAAGGAGAACCAAGGAGCCAAAGGTCTAGGGAAAAGCTTGAAGAAGAATCAACTATAATCTGGTTTCTACTCAAGTTTCGATCATTTGTTATCAAAAGCTAGGTCTCTTTGGTAACTTCTTCCTTAAGCTTTTTGTGTTGTCTTTGGTTTGGTCAAAATATGTTGTATTGTGTCTAAATTTGTTTCCATTTATTTGTTCCTTTATTGTCTTGTGTATCATGTGCCTTAAATTGTTCTTATGTCACATCTATAAATCTATAGAACAATTCACTATGTCTTGCTTGTTTTAATTCATACACCACTTCTTGTGAATCAATCTTTGTGTGTGCCTGTAGGTTTTAGGTTTTTAATGTTTTAGTTTTGCTTTACTTGTCAATAAATCACTTGTGTGCCTTTTTTAATTTTTGAATCTAAATACATTTGTCTCTATTTTGTTGTGATATCATTGCTGGCTGGACATGTATTAATTATAGATGTGCTCATTGAACGATTCCTATGCTTGTTATTAGACCTAACAGGTTCTAATTTGTGAACCTTAATTGCTAATTGTTTCTTAGCAATCTAAGGCCATAAATTCCTTGTGTCTTTTGTGTGCTTATTTTGAAAAACAAAATAGAGTAAGAAGTGTATCAAAAACGAAAATCAAATATGTACAAAAAGAATAACAAACTAGTAGCAAAACTAGTAACTATTGTGATTGAAATTTGACTTGTCATCACCGTGCAAGAAATGACCCCTCGCTCACCTACACAAGGGCACATCAAGCGTCTCTTGCCTATCATCCTCAAGGCAGTCTTCACTACAAGTCAAAAGAACCAACAAGGACATCATTAGAAATACTCAATACAAAGAGCGAAAGGTTACTAGACCCCTTAAAACCAATACAAAGATCGAAAGGTTACTGGATCCCTTAAAACTAGTACAAAGATCGAAAGGTTGTTGGATCCCTTAAAACCAGTATAAAGGACGAAAGGTTGTTGGACCCATTAAAACTAGTACAAAGGACGAAAGGTTGTTGGACCCATTAAAACTAGTACAAAGGACGAAAGGTTGCTGGACTCATTAAAACCAGTACAAAGGAAGAAAGGTTGTTGGACCCATTAAAACCAGTACAAAGAGCGCCTAGCTTGCACCACAAGCCATTCCCTCACTATATAAGTCTTTTCCTTCACTTTGTAAACACTTTTGAAGCATATATTGAGAGATTTCCAAAATTTGTTCAAAATTTTCTCTCTTCCAAAAGTCTCATATTTCCGACCCGGACAATTTTAGGGGTCTACAGCTAGGATCCTTATACTTAGGGGGAAATTTGTTAAGGATTACAATAGAATAATTTTCATTAAGGATAATTACCTCAAACTACCAATTTCTTTTTTATTTGAAATCAATTCTTTTAAAAACTTGACGTATTTAAGCATTTGGGCAATGGCTTCAACGAAAGGAATGTTAGCATGCAATTTTTTTTAACAATTCCATAAATTTCAAATTTTGTTCATCTTTTTTGCTTATCCTTTATTCT